AATCTGCATGTGAACATTCTGTGAAGAGAAAGACTAAATTCCATGAATCAATAATTTGTTTCAATTGTCTTGGTTCTGTTTACTACCTACACCATGTTTGATGAGTCTTAACTTATTAATGTTGGACATCCTCTGTTTTAAATCTCTGTATAAGGCTTGGAGTGAACAAGGCTGTGTTTACTTTGACTTCAAAGAGAATTAAGCGTCTGCAGAAGCGTTTTCCAGACTGAGCTGGACTTTATTAGCCCTGCTGTCATAAGTTCAGGAAAAAAAAAATCACCACATCATCTAAATTTGAGACAAGAGACCATTTAATATATCTCATTTTGCAAAACAATACTATTTATATAATGTTGGTATCCTATGTAATATTGGAGTTAACAAACATTTAATAGTTCTTAAGCTAATGTTATTGCCATTACAATGTTGACCTGTTGATTTTTAGTACTGACAGAGCTGCCTGAAACATCTACTGTTTACAACATTTGTTCTAGCTAAAGAGATTTGATAGAATTTGCTAATCAACTGCAACCACTTCCCACCCATAAAACTGATGCAAAGAAGGGAAAAAACAGCTAGTGGGATTCAAAGACATAAACACTTTTACTTATAACTCTGTAAAGAGAAATCCCTCTCTCTCTCCATATGGTTTTCTCTTGGCTCTTAATCATCTTTTCATTGGCTTCCAGCTGGCTGTCTCACTACCATCTAGCAGTATCACTAGCAAGACCAACTTGTTATGCCAAAGCCAGGCACAGAAAGATGAGAGCTGCAGAGTAGCGTGAGTGGATGCAGCACTCTACTAGGGGCAAATCTAGCATAAATGATGCAAGGCAGGGTCACGGCACTTGCCTCAGCAGAGCAACCACTGCTGCATTCCCAAAGTACAGCAGCAGGTCTGCATTTGCACATTTTAGGAGTGGGAGTGAAGAACAACTACTACAATTGAAGCTACAGGGAAAGTCTGCAGGCAGAAGTGTAATTACCTGAGTGGGAATTCTGGCAGAAAACCCAAACCTCTTTCGCTCCTTAAATAGAAACAAATGCTGTGCAGTCACCATGGAGAGATTACGTACAGCATTTGGATCACATGCAGCACCGAAATACAACACACACACGACAGCCAGCCATGGAGCTGGTTCAGCGCTGCACAACCAACTCTCAGTTCTCCATTGACTGCAGCCACCCAGTCAGTGGCTCCCCTTCTAGCCATCTTCCCCTTCACAGTCTTACAAATATTAAGCTATATGTCAAGACTCAGGCTCCACATTAAAGGCTAACTCTGCAAGCTGTTTAGCCCATCTGGGAGGTACCTAGAGCCTGACATGGAAAAGCCTGAGATGGAAGCCCTGACAAATTTATCCACTACCACCCAGGTAAGGTTTCAAATTGGGAATAGAAGAAAACCGCAGGGAAAGAAGCATCATATAATGCCTGTCTGTGATTTAGCTAAGCAACCAGTCTTTGAAGTGCAGCAGTTCTCACATGGTCTGCAGAGACTTTGACTTCAGTTGCAAAATTTCTCAGTTCCGGTCCGTGTCCAGAGTCTGTGGTTTCTAGTCACCTTATGTAGCCAGGCCCACCTCCTCATCTCCCTCCCTATCCCTTCCCTCTGCCCAGTCCACAACTCAGCTCGCTTCTTGTCTTCCATGCCCACCAGCCTCCAGACTCAACCCCAGATGCAGCTCCCATCTCCTGGGGTGGATTTTTCTCCTCCACTCCATCACCCATGTCTCTAGCACACAGCTTCCTCCTCAGGACTGTGGCAGCACCCCGGGGGAGGGTCACTAGAGCACAGGGAAAATGGGCACCCTTTTCCACCTTCAGGCACGGTATGGGCCTTTCAGAGTCCTTTTGGCCTCAAACTCTCCCTCAAACAGCTACTTGTGCTCACTAATAATCAGGGCCCTTCCTCTGTAGCTGCCCAACTATTCAGTCCAACTTTCAAAGAGAAATGCGGCTGCTCAGAGTCCCTGAAAAATCCAGCCTGTCACTTTCTATTGTTTGAAGTCAGTAGGAATGTTGTCAGACTAAAAATGTCAGAAATTTGCCTCTCCCCTCCAAATCAGCCAAGCTTTGTTTTGTTAATAACTTCAGCCAGCCTCCAAACCTTAGGAGAGAGTGCTTTGTATCTGCATACACGTCAGGCTGGTGATACTACATGGGAATCTTTCACTTACTGAGACCAGCAAAGTGTTGCTGTGTATCAGGAATGATAGTCCTTTTCTCACCTCTCTGCAGTAGCTCACTAATTTAGGAGCGTAAATCAGAGACAGCTGATAAGGCTGTAGGCACCAAGATGTCCTGCCTCCATTCAGTTTTCCTAATCATCCTGCAAGCCACCAAATAGCTTCAGATCTTAGAGTTTTGAAAACAACTCTGCTCATTTTAAAATATACATACATTTCAATTTCCTCCACATAACACCAGCAATTATTAAAACAGCTGTTTCTGATTTTGTAGTGATTTTTTCCCCAGCACGCACATCCCTGTGACTGGCTTTTGTTTTCATTCTCACAAGACAAGGCATAAAGAGACCCGTGCTTTTTTCCCCTTCCCACCATTACTAGCCTTCTCACAGCTCCTCTTTCTCTCCAGTTTCAATGCTGTGCCTCACATAAGCCCTGTTCCATGGGTTTTCTTAAAGGGAAATACCCTATATTTGTATTTATGAAGAATTATCCTCTATTTTTCAACCAATACCACATCCTGGTGCCTTGACTGTACTGAAACTTGCTCATTCTTAATTTTACAGATTGATGAATAGCTGCTAAAATGAGAGGAAGATTTTTCTATCATCAGTCAGCATCAGTGTGAGAGCAGTCTGCTCTTGAAAGCCTGTAGGCTCTGATTGTTCAAAAACATACTGTTCGCCATGTCAATTTAATCATGCGCGTAAGATATTAAGAGATCAGGCTCTAAGTGTACAAATTCTGTTGAGATCTGAGAAGGTTTTTTTCATAAACATCAATGAGGGCCAATTTCATGCCACTTGTTACATCCCATATACTCTTATTTCTTCAAACTATCACTTGTCTTTCTTCTTATGTGCCAATAATCAATTTGTAAAGCATAAATCACAAAGCTTACCTGGTTTTTGATTATGCTACAGCCTATGATTTTACATTTAACCAATTTTCTTCCTTTGATAACTGATATTCAGTTTCCATTTTATCACCGATTTGTGTTTGAAGGAACAAATAAAAATCACCTTTTTGCAAGGATTAAAACTTCACCTATTATTTACTTAAAAAGTTTTAGAACTGCACCATCACAGGAAGTGCTTAATCAGAAATGCAAAGAAGCAGCTCAGCCTGTACGTCATGTTCTGCCATACATCAAGCAGCAATCATATTTCAGCATTATCACATACAACTTGCAAACATCTGCTAAAGAGAGAAAAAAAATAAACCAGCAACAACAACAAAACCCACACACCAAAAGGTTATTTGACTTGCATTCCGTGTGAATTCAAAGTGGACACAAGAATCAGATCCCTGTTGATTAGGGATGAAAAAAAAGAACAAAATTTCTTGGAAGACACATGTTTCTCAAGAGACAGTAGATGCAGAGAGTAGACAGTAGAGACAGAGTTCTTTGCAGCTCTAGGATGCCAGCACAGGTAGGTACAGTCACACACATGCGCTCTGAGCTGAGTAGAGATGCTAGCTACAACCTGGAAGCCATACAGTAACCTTAGTGCAGTGCTTTGCACAGTCAAATAAGGCACACTGAAGCAGGGGAAGATCACTTTGGGCTCACTGCCATGCAAATGAGTTTATTCAGCTTTCCAGCCAGACCAGCTGAGGGTTTGGACTGGAGACAAGAGGAACACATAGGGCTGCCTGCAGCCATCCATCTAGAGTGATCTCTTAAGCTGGAGTCACTCTGTCTCAGTGTTGGGGTTCATTGGATTCTGAAAGTTCACCAGCCTTACTACTAGAAAAACACATTAGTCATGTAAACATCTCCGTTTCACATACATGGAAAAGAAGTTTGGCAAATTTTACAGAAAGTTTTCTACTACAAATCAGGGTAAGATCACAAGCTGATATTTATTTGCTACCAGGGTCTCAGGAAGTTAAAAAACAGTAATTCCTCATAGGTATTAATAATTACTTGGGGGTTTTGAATCTTTCAATTTCATATAAAGAGTTAGTTTCATGTGAATATTTGTGAAAAAAAAAGTTATTTCTTCTAACTACAACAGCTGATGATCTCAGCGCAAGTGACCCAAGACATGACCAGTTATGATCTTCAACTGACAGCACTGCCTTAACTTTTCTCTGCTATCTTTTATAACAATCTCTTGGAAGTATAAACCATGGCTGCTTTTTAATTTTTTTTTTTTTTTAAGTCTCCTACAGACATCTACTTCTAAGGATGTGAACAGACTCAAACAGTAATCAAGAAATTGTACAGTAATTTCAAAGGACACTTAAAACATTTTCCCTAGTCACAGCGTGTCTGTCTCCTGCCTACATTTCCTCCCATTTAAAAGCTCGCCTTGCTGCTTGGAATTCCAGATTCAGGACTGATCTTTTCCAGTTGCTAATGGTGCTGAAGAATACTTAAGAAAACCAATCAGAGACTGAAATGCGTGTATTTTATATGACAGTATCTTGTTGATCTAAAAAAAAAAAAAGGGGGGGGGGGAGGCTGGAGATACTCAAGTGTCTTTGCTTGATTTCCCACAGGCGGTTCACTAATGCCCTGAATGACCAGTAGAGATTTGCTGCTCTTAAACCAACATCCCAGCTGCGCAGAAGAAACACATTCCCTCTCAACTTCAGATGAGGGTGCCTGGACAAAGACAATGACGTCTGTATGCCAGGACGTAAGAAGAAAAGCCTTCTGTGGTGTTATTTATTGTAGCAACAGGCCCTGGCAACAGTTAGACTCCATGGTGATAACAAATAACCAAGCTGCCAAGGAAGAGACTAGGGCATTCCTACTCCCTGGACTTGCAGCACGGACAATCAGATGGCCACAGTTTCACCATGGGCTGCAATATTTCTAACAGGGTCGCTGTCGCACAGCTGTCTTCTGAGGAGCTACAGAACAACCAGGACGCAAAAAGCCAGGTAGTGACTTCTTCCAAACAGACTCTGTACAAAGTGTGTTAGGAGACATCTTAGCACGCGAGTGTACGAGGACTTATGCATACAGAGAAATAATTTTGCTGATGTTAACGGTAGCTCTGAATCTGTCAGGGAGTTCTTTAAGAGAAAGGCTACCACTCACTCAGCTTAATACAACCCTTATGCTACAGGGGAAGCAGACTCACCATTTGGCCACATGCGTGACCTGATTTTACAGCACCTGGAAAGTGGCTTTTCACAGTCTGTCTCACTTGCCTCATTAAAGATACAGTTAGAGGCACTTATCTCCCACACCAGCATTGAATTACAACACTGCAGCAAGGTGGGTTTTGCCTCAGAAAGTTATTATGAGGCAAGGGGGTTGTATATATGCAAATATTATAGGATACTTGTGCGCAGCCACTTTGTGAAGTTTGCAGAGTTGCATTGGCTCAAGCCCAAACATACAGAGAAGAGACAAGAATACATCTAGGCTCTAATCCTGCATTCTTTGGAGGTTCAAAGCTATTGTTTAGAAGGTGCACAGGTTAACACCTTACCAAGTGTTAATTTAAAACTCAGTTTTAAATTTCTAACCAATGATCCACATACAGAAGGCACTGAAAGTACGGAAACAATGCTCCAATATAGTCAACTGGATTATGGACACATTTAGGCTTAAGGTCATTTGCTTCTTTTCCAAAATGCTCCAGGAGACCTTTCCTCACTATCAACATCCACCTGTGACAGAACATGGATAAGTATCAGGAACACCTGTCTCCCACTCCACTCAGAACCTGCCAATTCTATGGGACTATTCTAGATACCACCTTAAATGTTTAGAAGCCCAAGGAGCTTCTCTCATTTGTTTCTTCATTTTCTTGTAGACTAAAAATGACAGCATTGCTGGAACAGAGGCTGTGCCCTCACAGGATGGGCAGCTTGGCCAACAGGCACTTCAAAGGATGGAGCCAAAACTTGAAGATGAGACCAGTGAGGGAGACTCCCCTGAAGAACTACCAGAAAGATTTACATCTTCTCAGAAAAGCAGCAATGCACAAAGCACAGGTAAACAGTAACTGAAGTTCACACCAGCTCCACAAACGGAGGCCTAGGAGGAAATTATCTTGAGAGTCTATTGCTACAGCCAACTTCTACACCCAGAAGCATTCATGCTGCGACACCACAAGGATTGAGCTCTTAGCACTGGTTTAAAACCATGCAATAGTAGCAGAAAGCATATCCTAGCTGATGATTATGTTCTGCAGCATGACTCAACCCTCACTACCAGAACAGGCAGCAGGGTAGATACTTTTCTTGGCAGATGCCTGGAACAGACCAAGAGAACAAACTCAGCCTTGTCCCCAGGGGCAGCCCTCTCTAACTGGGATTATGGCACACTGGGAAGACACATTGCCCACGCGAGGGCTGTCAGTCTGCTGTTACAATGAGTCATTTTTTACCAGAGAATGGTTAATACAATGCCCCTGACTAGCATCAGGTAGAGACAGTGGGTAAATACCATGTTATTCCTTAAGTTTGCAAGCAAAAGTTGCCAGTTGTTATATAGAGAAAACTAAAAATTCCAGAAATCATCATGATGATAAGCAAAGGTCTGCTAAGAAATTTATGTTTTTAATTACAAGTGAACACTCAAACCCAAACTTTTCTATAATCTTGAGACAACACTGTAGTAAGAGTTGCTAATGGAAAAGTAGCACCATCTTTGGCACATTTAAACCCCCTAATTTTGTAGTTTAACTCTTGTACTTTTCAAGGGCCATTAACAGCTTAAATTTCACAAACACACTAAATGGAAAATCTACAGTGGTTGTTTACTCTTTGTAATAAACAAGGGTTGCAATAAAATATTTCAAATTGAACACAAAAGGAATAGTTACTGGTGTTTGCTATTCATTAAAGAGGACTTAACTCCCAATGCCACAGAAGGACGTGATGAAAGGATTTCATTTCAGATTGAACAAAACTGTTTGCTTGCTCCGAAATAGTGCATTTCATTTCAAGCTCCTTTTCCTCCCACTTGCTAAAAGATAACTTCACAGGAAATTTCTAAACAGAAAGTTTTTGAAATCATGCTTCAATCTTCTGTTTCAAGACAAAAAAACCCCATACCATACCAAGATATTTCAACTGCATTTTTCTCCTGAATGGATTAGTAAAACCAATACAAATTCACATCACTTGTCAACGTTGCCCACTCATCATGCTTTTATTTTTTGCCAAGATATGTTTTGCTGTATACTGACTTCTGACATTTACGTGTTCTGACTGACAGCTGAACGCCAGTGCTTTTTGGGTGACTGGTTCAGTTATTTTAGGAGAGGTATAGAGTCAGCTTCTTCAAGATGGTAGATGTTCTGTATTTTTGTTTTACAACTAAAAAATAAGCCAACGTTGTCATACCCACTGTGCTTATAAAGACTGGCAGATGTCAAATAACTGCGATTTTTATTTGGTCCAAGCATTCTTCATACAAAAGCTCTATCTTTTGCCAATAGAGGTTGGGCAGACGATAGAACTGTCAACTGAGGGTTGAAAAACCTGATGGGTCTTGGCAATAAAGTTGTTCGTTGTTTATTCACATCTAATATGTGGAAACTAAACAGCCACTCAGAAGGGTTATCAAAATAATTTGTTTTTTATTCTTAATTGATGTTTATAAATATATAATTAAGTGGTGGAATGCTTACGATCAGACTCAAATGTAGCAATGCTGTTACAACACAAATCATAGACCAGGAAAGCATATGAAAGTTTGGGTTCATTTAACAGAAGAACACAGTGATCTTTACAAGACGGCCCATTAGTAGGCTTGTACTATCCCATCCCAGCCTGGCTTTCTCTGACCAGATCACAGGACCCTTGAGAACTTGAACTATAAAGAGCTCCCTATGGACCCCCTTTAGGAACATGCTCAAAAATTGGCTTCACAGGCCTTCAGCACACGCTTCCACGCTTTCCTGAATGTGCCCCTCTGGGTGTAACTGACTACCGTGAGAAACTGAACTAGGCGCCCCCCCTTTTTTAAAAGCCACTAAAAAGCTTACTGCAAAGTTTAAGCAGTGAGGAGAGCCTTGAGCAGGCCTTCTCCACTGGATGTTCTCAGTATGTAACCTTTTAAATAAAAGCTCTGGCATCAGAAATACATCATGAAGTTTTGTTTGAATGCCAAGTGCTCTACAAGTATTAAGTTTTAACATTCTCATCTTTTGAAGATGCACCGCTCACCAGTGAGTTCACCGGTAAATCATGGCCCTTACAGGAAACAGAAAGGCAAAAATCATCAGACGTTCTTGAGGAGCTGAGGATGCAGGGAATAATCAAGAGCCAAAGTACCACTGGCAGCACTGGAGAAGCGTATGAAAACAAGGTAAGTGCCATTATATGAGGCAGGACCCCTGCTACAGCTCTGACCCTGCTGTGAGCACCCTGAGATTCAGTTTCTGCACACACGAAGCATCCAGGCATATCTCCTAAGAATTTAGAAGCAAGTTGTTAAACAGAGAACTGTGTTATGGGGATGTTAGTACAACACAAGCTGGCAGCAGTTTTCAGTTGTTTACAGTTTCCAGGCTTGTTTCAAATGGGGACAAAGGAGGCAGTGACAGTACTAAGAACTTGCTCTTTGAAAAACTCACTGGAAGTTACATGCTACAAACTTGTTTCTCAAGTCCACAAAACTAGAAGAAATACTGTTGCCAGGGTGTTAATAAGTGTTGTAATTACACTTAAGACCTCTGAAATCCTAAATATTCACACTTCTGAGACATCTACAATTCACATTTGGTCTCAGACTAAGAAACCATTACAAAATGGATTTAAAAAAAATTATAGAACTGGTACTTGAATAAGAAACTAGTGTCCATTTTCTTTTCATTCTGAATGATAACCTGAGGTTTATTTTGGCTTCTGAACTCAAGTGCATTCTTTGTCATCAAGCATTGTGTTAAGGATCAGATACCTCTTCCAGATATGGTTTCTAGTACAGATGTCAGGAAGGAGGTGGTCTTCAAGGAGTTTGTAAGTAGTTTAACACATTTGTGGATATGTATCATCCAAAGCACGATCCCACCACTGCTTGGACACAGGATCAATTCAAGCTCAAACCAAGGATGATTCTGAGTAGCTTTGTCATTTGAGGCAAGCCATTCACACATCTCTAACCTTGGCCACCTATATTATTGAAGATCAAACAGAAACTTTCATAAGAAGGACTAAACAAACAAGTGCCACCTTACAGCCTGACCACTGGTGCTGCCTAACACATTTCCTATTGCCAGCACTTTGGAAAATGGGGATGGAGGGTCTCCAAGTACAACATCTCCATAGCCTTTACTTACTTCTCCTCAGATAGATTTTCTGAGTAGCTGAAAGGACTATCCCCTCTGTGGCTAAATTTAGGTAACATACTGCAGGCAGGTTTTTGTATTTTTCCCTTCATAAGATAGGCAAGTGTCTGTTCTTTTCTTCCTCTTGTATTAAAAAGCTGTCTGATATTAAATTACACATACTCTTTTATTGACAGAAACTCAGTCTGTGCTATTTCTCCTTAGAGAATTTCTATCCTCCCAACAGGAGGATTTTTGTCTAAAAATCGGTACAGCTTTTAAAAAGTGAACCTCATGCTTTTCACTAACAAAGTCTTCACTAACAAAATCAACTTTTCCAAGTGATATTTTACATTTGAGCTGGGCCCACTGCTCCGTAACCTACAAGTGAAAACACAAATCTGTCACTAGCTGTTAGCTATTAGCTCTCCCTTAGTAGCAATAGAAAATTTGGCCTGTGCTACCTCCTGTAAGAATAATTTATTCCATTAGAGCTCAAATCCAGCAGATTACCTATGAATAGAGGAACTAAATGCACTGAACAGACACAGTAGAAAAGGTTTATTACCCAGACATATTCCAAATTACAACATGCCGCTCTGGATTTTGAGCATTAACACATGGGTAAATTCACATCTGAAATTTTGGAATTGACCAGGAATAAGCATGAATAGCTTTACACCAAATTTTAGTCCAGCACTAGCTTCAATGAAGAAATGAGCTCACAGACCTCACAGCACTATAAAAGACAAGTACCACCAGGTTTGAGATTATTTTTACAATAACATTGGAGATAGAGACATCCTTGCAAAAGCTTTCCCTTCCTGCGCACAGTTCTGCTCCATATAAGTATCTGCATCGCTTAAGCCTTGGCAGCATTACCTGTCTTCTCTGGATTTCCTGCCATTGCCAACACTGTGCAACAGCTACACAAGAAGCCTTCAGTCTTTTGACCATCCCTCACTCTATCCTGAACAAAGGAACTCCAAGCAGTACAGGTTAAGATGCCTCGTTATACCTGTTTCTAAGTGTTACTGCTCTAAAAGAGCAGTACTTTTGAGAGCAACATTTCATGGGTCTAGAGTAACAAAGCCAAGGAAAAGCTGTACATGCCACAGGATAAACCAGCCTCTACAATTTTAATAGTGGCTCTTACTAAAAACACCAGCAGAGCCAGAGCTTCCACCTAAGATACAGGCATCTAGGCTTCTTTGCATAATTACATTTCAGCATTTGGGGGGGGGGAGAGCAACTGCTATTTTTCCCTCCAGTGCTTCAAAAAGATTGTATAGAATATCTCAAGTTGGAAGGGACCCATAAGGATCAGAGTCCAACTCCCTGCTCCTCACAGAACTACCTAGAACTAAACCATATGACTAAGAGTGTCATTCAGATGCTCCTTGAACTCTGACAGGTTTGGTGCCATGACCACTTCCCTGGGGAGCCTGTTCCAGTGATCGACCATCCTCTCAGTGAAGAGCCTTTTCCTAACATCCAGAGAATCATAGCTGATGTCAAATTTGAAAATGTTTAATCCTCACCCCTGAGGAGTTACATTAAGCTCTTAATAAACACCCCTACTCCCAAGAAGTGGCAGGAGTTGAATTATAGACAGCACCGGACACTTTAGTTCATTAGTGCACCAGCAGGATATCATCTATCAGGTACCTTTTTTTGCAGTCTACCTTTAAAGGCACTCCTATGTGTGTGAGCTAGAGGGTAAGCAAAAGGACCAAAAGCTGTAGTTTCAAATGGAATGGTCTATGGGAATTTTATCCACTTACCATGAGTTATCATTTACAAGGGATGCGCACAGGTTATTATTTTAGCATTTCCATTGCTGTTAGCTTTCAGTGTGGGTTCGTTGAAGCTATGAGGACTTTTGATCTCCCAAAACTGTTTAGCTAAAAGATAAGTTCTTTTCTCAGCTTATATAGACACAGAACAATCTGGAAAGCAACCTGCTTGCTGAATACTCTGTTTAGCTTGGACATATTGGGAAGAATTTTCCATTCATCTCTTCCTATGCAGTCCACAGTTTATCTTGGGTAAGGAATGACATGCTCATATGCAATACCTTCCCACTTTGGGCTTTCACTAGAATGGTCTTTGTCATTGGATAGAAGAGTTTCTTTCTTTTGAAAAAGTCTTTGTTTCTCTTTTATGATGATTGAACATTGCTTTGTTCCGATTTTTGTGTCATCTGCATTCAAAACGTCTCCTTTGTATATCAGTTTTCTTCCTACTGATTCATGCTCCACCTTCATCTCACTAAATGACTCATCTTCCATACTATTTGCAGCACTTAACACTTCTGGCAGTGAGGCCAGACTTTTATTGCCATAAATAACGCTAGAGAAGTCTGGGGAGCAGATAACTCGGAAGACTTGTAACAGGATAGTGATTATTTCAACCCTAGGTCCTTGGTGTGGGTTTAACACTGCTAAAACTGCTTGTCATACAGGAAACAGTAGAATTCAGCCTCCTGGCTCATCAAACAATCACCACATCTTTCCAGGAGTAAGCGCTACCCTCAGCAGCAGAGCTCTAGGATTGGGCTGCTCATTTGTATGCGGCAGAGGCCAGCAGTATCATGATTACAAAGCTCTAACAAAACCATTCTTAAATCTCTTCAGCAGTAATAAAGTAACTGCCCTAAATGCTTAGGGCCTCATTACCAAATCCCCACATCTGCTGGGTGTACAGCAACATTGCAAGCTTCACAGGGACGTCATTCAGCAGAAAAGGGGAATTCTCACTGCAGACAACACTCACTCATGAGTGAGCACTGAGTTTATTAGTACATCATTATTTCTAGGCTTTCATTGGCATCAGAGTCCATCACCTCCATGCATGAAAAAAAGCAGAAGGCAAGCATCAAAGTGTCACCCCAACATCAAAATATACTCTGCTGAAAACTTTTAATGTCTCTACAGAGAGATGCCCTGGAAAAGACACTTTTCCAGGGCACCAGCTAGGCTGGAAAAAATTCAGTTTGGAAACAAGGAAGCAGGTGATTTTACAGTGAAGGACATGAAGACTTCTGCTGAAGTGAAAAAACAGGTCATCTAATTCTCTATGTATTTTTCCAGTGTTTGCTTTATCACCTGAAACCCTCTACTTTTTATAATCGAGCTAATGCAGACAGTTTATGTACAACCTACTACCAAAACCTGATTAATGGCAGCACAGAGGGTCCTATATTCATCTCACAGATGTTGGAAGTCCAGGTTTATTTTTGTCAAAAGCCTGGAAGGTTACTTTAAAGATATGCATAAGAGGAAACTTCTGGAACAGTCTTTTTTTCCTATAGCAAAAGATGCATCTTCCACGGACACCAGAATAAATTGACTAAATTCAGTGCTAACTGGAGTAACATTCTGATCACATTTGGGCAGAAAGATAGAAAGAACTGCTGCATGTGTTTGACACATATGTACTTCCATCCCTCATTACAAAGCATTATGTTTTCTTGTTATTTTGTTCTAGGTTAGGGAAGAGGAACTGAACAAAATGTCACAACACATCACATTCTTTCCAGCAACTGCCCACCAAACTAAAGGTAAACAGACTGAAAAGGACTGCCCAAGTTTTTAAAGCCAAGGAGGTACAGACACCCCTCAGCCCTCACCCTTAGATGGAGAGCCAGGGGTACTGCTAAAGGAAATAACTGCAGTGGAGGCCACAAACAATTGTACCGAGGACTCTGTCATTGAGTCTGATAACTTACAACTGCATCAATGAAACAACCTGGATCTAAGCTGTCTTGCAAAAATGAGGAACTCCTCTGCTCCCTTCAGCTGTCTTTTTTGGGGGCCTAAGTAAATGATTTATCAAGGGGCACAGCTGAGTCTTGCTGCTACCTATCTCACCTGGGAAAATGGTATCTAATCTTAATTGTTACACACTAATTGGAAGTAACAAAACAAATGAGAAGAGCCAGGAAGACACAAATTAGTAACCGGCCAGTCACTAAGTTCGAGCACATACGCATTATCATGATTCTATCAAATTTACTTTTTTAATTATTAAATTTAGCTCACTTCTTGGATGGCTCCATGAAAAGATTCCCTTTCCCTAGGGAGCAGGGAACAGGAGGCTGGAAAGGCATTGTATACACACAGGAAGGCACAAAAGCAGGAGTTAGCAGGGAAAAAGCTGTGACCAGCAGGGATTTGGGACAGCAGAACACGGTGGGACCCTAAGAGTAAGAACAAAGCACAGAGCAACTAGCAAAGAGGTGAGAGCTTCAGGTAGTAAGGTTACAACAGGCCCCAAGAACATCTATTTGACAAGCATTGAGCAGACAAAGGAAGGACAGAACAAGGACTGAAACTACAATGGAGAAAACAACTAACAAGCACAGTTGGTTTGTCCGCATGGAATAAGATGACTGTTTCTGTTACAGAGAGATGTGTTTGGTCCGTCTTTTGACTTTGGAATCCCCCATGCCCTACCTCCAAAGCGCATGCAACATTTATTACAGCCAGCTCTTCCAAAAGCAACAAGTAAAGCAATTGTGCCATTCATGCTCTCCCTGTTGCCAGCCCTGCCACTCCGTTCTGGTCTATCTCTAAACACGTCCATCCCCACTTCCATTTGGACCGCAGGCTCTACCCACCTCTCTCCCCCATCAATCCTGCACCACACTCACCTCTGCTCCTACCCTGGCTTTTTACTTACCTCCAGCTACAGGTGACACATTCTTCCTTTCCACCTTCCAAGCCAAGGAAATTCAGCTGCAGCACAGGACCACTCTTCTCTTAAATCACAGGCCAGGCACTGCAAAACAGACAAAAAGGTAGTCCCTATTTTTATACTCTCATGGTAGCTCTCCCTATCACTCTCAGAAAGAAAAAAGCTTTCCTGCTTCCTTCTCTCTTGCCAGACTTGTACTAAATCACTAAGGGGAGGAGCAAGAGCTCATCTCGTTTCCTGAGCAGCTGGGATCCCACCTGAGGAGCTGAGTAAGGCAGCCCACCAGAAAGAGCCTATTCTTTCAGCCCAGCTCCAGGCCTGGCCAAATTGGCAGGTTTTGTGAAAAAGCTCTATTAGCAATAGAGAAGAAAACCTGAAAATCACCCTGTGTTGCCTGGAAAGAACAGTAGAAAAACAAGAAAAAGAGAAAAAAAATCTTAGGAAACAGAGAAACTTTACTCACCTGGTTCAAAATTAGCCAACAATCTGACAAATAGGAGAAGTAAGAGATCTGCGGGCACGTTCTCATCACACAGTTAACCCAGGCTGTTCACTGATTTTTGTCTCTTAGGTACTTTAAGCTAAGGCTACCTGGCCAGGCTTGGAATAAAAACTGGTGTGTGTATGCATATATATATTCATACAGACGGTTCCACCAAGTTAGAGTAGTTTGCCTCGCCCTGCAGTGAGGTTACTGAAGTGCTAATAGTCTCCCAGTACCTTCCCATACTTTCAGAAGGACAAACGATGGTCTGTCCACAGCCAATGCCATTTCTTCCACTGTTTCCTGGGTGAGGATCTTAGCTCCCTGCAGCACAAAGCCAGATAAGCCCTTGTGATACAGGGAGAGAAGCACAGCATCAGGAAAGGTGCCTTTTTGTAATAGGACCACTCATGTGCTTCTGCCTGGCTTATCTGTCTGTCAGACGTCATTGCTAGTCTCTCAAATCAACTATGCAGCAAAGATGATACCCTGAAAAAAGCAACAAGAAACAAGAGGGCTTTGCAAGTGTCATTACTAATAGCAGTCTACTTAGAAAAACTTCCTAGAATCAAAGATTCAAGACGAAGCTGTGGCACAGTGTAGTTCAACTGGTGGGCTGAGAAGTGATGCTGTCTAGCCTGTCAGCTTTACTTGGGGAGGGCACAGACCTGTTTCAGAAGTGAAACACTCAATTCTTCCTCCTGAGCACATCTGAGAGTTTAAGCCCAGAGCAGGCAACTTTTCCATGTCCACCTCACGAGGCAGGGTGGGTATGAAAGATACGTAGCCTGGTATATGCTTTGTCAAGGGGTTGTTGTGTTGCCTGGCTGACCCCGTTAGACCAGTGGGAGTAACATTCTGAGTCTTTCTAGGACACTTGTTGGAAGAGGCTGAACACTGTGTACAAGCAGTGGAAAGCAATCTCAGAAAAAATGCATTAATTTCTCCTTATACAATGTTCACAACACCTTTAATTACTGCCTCTGTTAGGAGGATCTGCTGAAACCCACAATTTCATACTTTTTGGCACAATAAGTTTCTGAGCCTTTTCATGCAATAGAAGATACAAACTCTTGGTTGGGCACACACTTTTCCGAACTTGGAAATAATTTTAAAATAAAGATCAAATCTCTCTGTTCAGTAAAATAGTGTTTGTATTACTAATAAGAGAAGCAGTTAAATCCTGCCTTACTGAATTGTGTATTTATCTGAACACTGATCTAACTCCCATTGAAAACCATCCATGTCTTCCCATTACCTTTGGTGGATGTTGGACTTGCCTCTTGATGCATAAGAGAATAGCTAAGCAGGGAGAACAAAGCTACGTTTCTAAGCAAAGGAACAGCCTGCTGTTTCGACTGACTTCAAAGGAACAGGACGTTGTGAATATTCCTATGTATAAAATTACACTGAGATATAGCTGACAACTGCAGGGCTCCTAGCCATGGCTAACTGCTTGCACAAAAAAAGCAGGGCAGCAAGTAGGTGCCAGGTGTCTGCTTTTAAAATGCCCTCAAGTATTTAATGTTCTCCTGTTTGACTGGTAGGTCTCTTACCAAAGACCTTGGTGTGCAGTTCAGCAGTGCCCATGACCAAGCACCGCTGACTTGTGTCACAGCCACATTTGCTCTAATGCCTGTCCCTTGACAGATCTGGAAAAGGCAACGGGTAGGCAGTAGGAGCCCACAGCACCATAGCAACTGTGCAAGAGAGCACTGGTCTCCCTGTCAGCACTCATCTCTCTCTCCTAGCCATGAATGGAAGGAGAAAGACACACCAGCCTAAGCAAGAGTGACTTGAGCAAAGACGCCTTTTCTCCCATGCTAAGGCAGAGATAGGAGAGGAGGCAGAAGCATCTCAGTAGGCCAGACCATCCAGGGCTCGCTCTCCTCAGACACTTACAACCATCATGGACCGATTTCCATAGGAGTGGTTTGCCTGACTTTGCTCCCTTGAGCTTCACCGGAGGGCAGCCACTTTCTGAAACTGAACTCGAACTGGCTGAGCAACTGGGTGAACAGAGCCAGAGCTACAGACATTTGAGTGTGGCAAGCATCGGGATCGCCGGTGCTCAGGTTATGTGCAGGCTAGAGGGTTCCTACCCTTGCCATTTGGGGACGACTTCTCAGTCTCTGCTCTAAACCTCTCAGATGCCTTTGTGAGAGGCTATGAGCCCTTGCCTGAGGTAATATGTGGGGGGAGGCATTTTGGAGCCTTCTGCTCACGCAATGAAGAAATAGTCAGAGTACGATGCTGTAACACCTAGTCAAACTCCTCTGAGCGTGGGGCTTTGTACAACTTGCCTGCTGCTCCTGCCTCTCCCCGTCACGGGGATTTTCTCTGGTATTTTACTGGAGTTCCAGCACAAAACATGCCAGGCCTGGGTGCTGCCTGATGGAGGAAGCACCAGGGATAGCTCACCAGCGGTGAGCCATTACGTGCAGGTTGGTGGCCTCACCAGGGCCCTTCGTATCTCCCCATCCCTCTGGAGCCTAATTCGCCCAGCTGGTCCCGGGCACAGCTTCTGCACCTTCAGTCCCCTGACAGCCTCACGCTCCTCCCGGTCCTGCGGGACGCCTCGTCTCTTGTGAGCCGGGTGTAACTGACGGCAGACGGCCATCCCCAGCAGACACCCCCCGACCCG